TAATCATGCACAAATCAAAGCTTTCAGCTGCCTCTACCAGTGTTATAAAGAGTGAGGGATACTTGGACAAATTCTGCAGTGAATTGAGTATCCCGTGCGGATCCCGGAACTGTGTCTTCATCACAACCTACAGAATAAAGACAAGAGGTGAATTAAAATGTATCAACTCCATCCATCCTGTGGCTCTACAGCCTCTTTGGCGGGCCTTGGCCTCCTCCCTTGTGGGAAGTTACTTGATCTATTTAGACATTTGGTAGGACTCCTTGGACGAGTCATCAGCCAGTCACAAGGCCTCTACCTGTACACAGGACAGCACAACACAGAAAGACACAGACAAACATCCATGCCTTGAGTGGGATTCGAACCCACGGTCCCAGTGTCTAAGCAAACAAGGCTCACACCTCAGACTGCATGGCCACTGTGACCAGCATGATTATGGTGATTTATATATGGTAAAATTGGGTAATCATGGAAACAAAGGTTAAATTAAGGTGATTGAAAGACTGATTTATCTTTATCACACAGGAATAAGGGACTTAATCCCTGTACTATAAGGCTGTTGGTCAGACTTTAACTCTGGAGATTAATCATTTAGCTGTATGCTACTGTGACATTGAGCCAGATGGATAGCTTAGTCAGTAAAGTGACAAACTATGGAATGGACAGCCTGGGTTCAATTTCCAGAAGGGTCAGGAGTTAATTTCTTTGATTCTAAATCCAGACCAGTTCTAAGGTCCAACCACCTCCTATCCAATGGACACCAGTTGTAACTTATATTTTCCCCATAATAAACATAGAAAAGAACATGCAAAAATATTGTTCTATATATCTAATTCTTTAGCATTTGCGAAAGAATTCAAGCATATGTTACTGCACAAGAATTACGTTTGTGATAATTCAGTACTTTCTGTTCAAGTGGCAGTTGCCCACCTGGCAAATGTGATACTCCAAAGTCTACTTCCAATAAGAATGACAAATGAAAAATCAAATACTGCTTACTTTTGCACCAAAACGCAGCAACAAGTGAACAATGGCAGGACATGGCTCTTCATTAGATGCTATATACTCTGCAAGCACAGGCCGCAGTGGGGTACCCTCATCACTCTCAATGACCATATTTGGATCAGCTCCCGCACACAGCAACAAATGCAACAGTTCAAGCCGATTAGGGATGTTGTCGGCACACACCACGTGCAATGGCGATCCAATTATTGGGGAGCTAGAGTTGACATTTGCTCCTGCAAAATAAATGTTCTTAACTGTATGGAACATGGGTTTACTCATAATGTCATACCAAGTTTTATGAAAACTGGTAAAATGGCTCAGAATTTAGTAAGGGGGAGAGACTGACACACACACAAAATATGGATGACTGCAAATTCTATTCTAAAGTCTGAGGCCCTTACCTGCTGCAAGCAGCAGTTTCACAAGGTCTATGTCACCCTTGAGTATGGCAAGATCAAGTGGTGTTGGCTTCTGGTAGTCAGGTGGGTAGTTCACCCTGGCACCTTGCTTTATAAGGAGATTAACAATCTCCAAGTTGCCTGATAAAACAGCATAGTGCAGCACAGTTCGATAGTCATGACGGGAATCTGTCATTGCATTCACATCTGCACCAAAAGACAGTAGCAGCAGCACAGAATCCATTCCCTGAAAATAAAGTTTTTGGTAACTTGAAATTCTTCCATCTGACTAGTTTAGTTTGTCTGCAGATTATTTAAAGATGCATTATCAATAAATGGGATTATTTAGAAACAAATCAAATGAGAGGATAATTACTGAACTGAAACAGGAAGTTATAATGAAGATTTATTTTAAACTCTTTTGACCCTGACATTGTCAATATAATTAATGTCGACCAACTTATATGGGCTCGACTTGTTAATATGATGGATGCCACAAAACCTATTAATAATCTGACCAACTCAGGAACACAAAATAAATATTTAAATAATCCTATATTTAACACAATCCAGGTTATTGACCCAACCCCCTAACACCATTTCTACCTATATATACGACCCACATCAGTACACCAAACCAGTCTATGAACTGACATTCACCTGATCAGACCTGACCAACCGAGGACACACGACACATCAAACTCCTGGTATGTTATTGTGTTTCTATGTTTATAGTGAATTTTATAACAATATCCAAACTCATTTACATATAAATAATATTAATAATGTTAATTATATTGTTGATAATTTCACAGAAATAATGAACAAATAACATAATACGCCACATAATATGCAAAAGAATCAGAAGAAAAAAGGAACATCCACAACTACAACCTACAATCTACAAATACTGAAAAGCGTGCATTAAAAAATATTGAATAATTTTAAAAATAAAACCTGAAGATGATGCTGAGACATCGAAACATGTTGTAATATATAGCGCAAATTGTAACATCGAGGAAACGATGAATAGCGCGAAATATTTATATCAATTTTAATTTTTAACATCAATATTAATATAGTTTGTGTATAGACTTGAAGAATAAATATATGTATGAACAAAATATGAGTTTCTGTTTTCAAAATGCCAACAAAATCAATTTTAAAATTTCAAAATAAATGCTGAAAAATTATAACAAAACATCTGAATGGGCATTTGTTGCTGAACAAATTAATTATGTAGTAGCTTCAAAATCTGAATAAGAGCCACCTGTCAATACCAAAATCTAGTTCAAAAAGGGTTAGTCAGTGAAGTTGTTTAAACTGTTGTGTAGACTTACCTGTGGGAGTCTTGCTGCCTTCATGAGGGGTGTCAGACCTGCCCTGTCTCGAGTATCTGGATGGGCACCAAATGTCAGTAAAAGACGCAAAAATTCAAGATCAAGTGGGGACACGAGGTTGATCTCAGAACCAAAGAAATAGCGCTTGTTTGGGTCTGCCCCATGCTCCAGCAGCATTCGGGCCACATCTGCATGATGATTCCGAATTGCCAGCCGCAAGGGTTCATCACAGATGGTGGTGCGAGGAAATGGATCATCAGTATCTTCACGATAATCCACTTGTGCTCCTTGATGAAGCAGCAATGTCACCAACTCTGTGTACCTGTGGAAAGTTCTTTCACATGTAAAAATGGAAAGCAAATATCCCTGTCTGTGATATATCATCTAGGACATAATGAGGATGTCTAAGAGAAAAGTGCTAATTTCTAGAATGTGATCTGAATGTTATGCCATATAGTATTCTGTTCTTTTACCAACATTTTGGAGTTACATAGTGCTTCCACACAATCGATCACAATGCTGTGAAATCCTTAGTAACTGCAGTATGCTAATTATTTATCTGGACCAAAGAGAGATGAACAGGAGAATGTGGGTGTTAATTTAAATAATGAGCTTCACAGTAGCTGCTTTTCAACCATGTTACTAGGATGAACAGATCAACAGATATGTATAGACAGAAAATAAACATGAAAATTGACAGATATGTACAGAAAGGCAATCATTCTGTACAAAGATGAGATGGGTATGAATATAACATGTATTTCAAGGCATCTCCACAAGATAAGTGCGAGATAATCATGGCACCGCAAATATACCAAATATTATTACCAGTTCTGAAAACAAGCTTATTTATTAACGTCCTCAACAAAATCAGCCTTAAACATAAGTTTATATATTTTTGGACTATTATCATACAAGATCTTGAGCAGTTGATAGTTACTCAGCTGGACAATAAATTCCATTACTTTTTAACCTGAAGATTTTCTAAATCATGGGTATTATTTAAGGGAAAAAAGCGGGAGAAAAACAATCATTTTAATTTAACATACCAAATCCTATGGATGCAGGGGTCAGAATACACCTTCACTGTTTATTTATTATCAACTTTAATATCATCCTTCAGGATTCCTGACAAAATTCCTATGCATTACTCATTTCCACAATGCATGCTACATGTCAACTCATGTCAGTCTTGATTTAATGACCCAAACAGTACAACACAAAAAGAACAGATTATGTAGTTACTTATTATGTAATTTTTTCTATCATCCTGCAACAGTGTTTTAATCCTAAAGATTTTAGACAGAACATGGAAAAATGGAACTTTCTGAACTTAAAAGCAAAAAGAATTCCCCAAATTTAGTCTTCTGTTAATTTCATAATGAATATTGTTTTCATTTATTGCTGCTGTTTCCAACCACTTTAAAAAATAATGAGTTACAAACATGAATTGAATCAGCATGTTTGCCAGACTTTGACTCAAAGTAGCATAAAAGATATTGTATTACATATACCATGACCATTCTAAATATTTCAATTATGTTCAACTTGGAACAGAATCCAACAACTTACAGCAGTGGTCCTCAACCTTTTTGTGCCTACGGGCACATTTAAGAGTTTATGAGATCGTGGCGGGCCCCAACCAATTAACAAAGCCAAATTTTCTTTTCTCAGGACAAATAAGATATGGACACCAAATAATACACAAAGCAACACGTTTAATGTTACAAGACACCATGCAATCAAAAATATGTAGTTTTATAAGTACAGTTATTATTACTCAAGTGGGAAGTTAGTGTGATGTTTGGCACTGCATTTCATCGGCCAGTTTTTCAAATTTGGTAGTGTAGGATGATGTTGCTGCTTACAAACAATCGTCAAGATGGGCGTCAGTAAGTCGAGATCTGCGCTTTTATTTTATAATGTTCGTGGTTGAACAGCCTTCATTATTCAGTATAACCTCTTTCCGTAACAACGCGGGCTCCCAAAAAACCAAACATTATTCTGCTCGAGAATTGTTTACTAAAATAAATGCATTCTGATTAACATCTATTATAATACATTTGGTTTCTGTTTGCAAAATTATCTACAATTTCACATTTTACTCAAATGTAAAAACAACATATAGTATCAAAACAACTATGAATACCATAGTCCTTGGGAACTTGAACATACACACGAGAATGAATTTAGTTTGTAATTATGTGTGTTAGAAGCCATGATGATTTAGTCAGTAAAGTGACATACTGGAGACTGAAGTTTAGTTTCTGGCAAAGATATTTAAGTAAGACTTGAGGTTCTCACAGCGGTGAGTATGAAGATTTCCGTCTTCTGGGTTGTTGCGCTGTGTAGTCTGGTCGATGTTAACCAACGTTTCAGAGGTCATACTCATGGTAAACATCGACCAGACTACACAGCGCAACAACCCAGAAGACGGAAATCTTCATACTTATCGTCCTGATGATGGAGGCAGTATGACCTCTGAAACGTTGGTTAACATCGACCAGACTACACAGCGCAACAACCCAGAAGACGGAAATCTTCAAAGATATTTAAATTTTTCTCTTCTTCATCATGCACAAAATGACTCTGGAGTTCACACAGGCTCCTCTTCACTGGTGAAATGTTAATGTAACATGAAGATGACATGTCCATCTAGTGTTGAGTTTTAAAGTAGCATGGTGCTTAAAACCAAGGATGATCTTACCTTTATCATTTTCACCTGGAAGTTTCTAAATTATTTTAAAGTTCAAAGTGTTAAATGAAACCATTTACAGAAATATGCGCATGATAAAGGTACATGTTTATCCTCATGAGGAACAGACAGTCTCTAAGGCTCTGGATTGTGACTCCATCTTTACAAGGCTAATCAATTGATGAGGCTTTATTCAAATTAATTTAAATTAAATTTGGTTATTTTCAAACCAATTAGGAGAACTAAATTAGGACTGCATGTATTCTCCTTAGCAACTTTCTCTCAGACATAATCTGTTGTTCACATAGATCAAGTCCAAAGCAAACTCCATGGAGCTGGAGACTCTTTCATTTATTTCTTTTGTCAAAGAAACACTCTAGTTCTTATGAAATATTGACTTTGATACAAATTCACTTTGGACTCACCCATGTTCTGCTGAAAGGTGCAGGGCTGAGTAACCACATTCATCTCTGGCATTAACATCACTTCCTCTCACCAGCAGCAACTGAGCAGCCTCCAAGTAACGCTGCCAAACAGCGTAGTGCAGGGGGCGCAACCCCTGGGTGACAGGTTCATTAACCTTAGCCCCACATGCTAGCAGGATGCGGATCTCATCAAGTGGGACCATGCGGATAATGCTGTCTGCAAGTTCCCGTTGCAGTGGGTTGGTAATGCATTCGGTTGGCATTTCAGTTCTGTGCATAAAACCTTATATGTATGTAAAATACTACAATGATGCTAACTATGGTAAAAGAACTGGAAGATTCAACATCATTAATATCAAATCTTATTACTTGTTTGCTCAGACAAGAGCTATGAGAAACAACAACAGTGAAAATGACAGGCCTAATTATAAATGAGCCAATGTTGTTGAAATGAAACTCAACACACAAAATGAACTCGGTCTTGTAACTGAGCTCTGCTTACACCCCACCCACTGTTCGAGCTGCAAATACACTGCACAGCTCAAGGCCATAGCTCTTGTCCGAGTAAATGTCTAATACTATTGGCATGATCCTGAGCTAGTTTCATCCACTTTCCATTCTTACATCCCATCTATGAGTATGCTTCCCAAGTTTTCCCAACAGAATTATGTACGGATTCTTTATCTCTCCTGCCCTAGCCACATACCTAGGCATCTCAGATCTTATGCTTCTAACAGTGCAGGTAATATGCAAAGTGCAGGTAATATGGCCAACTAATATTTTATTTTTAAAAATACATATTAATTCAAATATAAATGCAAGGAATTAAGACATATGACGTTTTAAAGTATCATTATTATTATTTACTTCACATTTTGAACCTGAAAGCAACAAAAGATGATTTTTGTTTTTTTATGAAGTGAACTGACAAATTTTGTTACAAAAATAAGAAATTTAAACTGCATTCTTTCTCATCAATAATGTAAATCCATTCAGGCTTGTCCATGACATCAAATCCTATTCCAGTATGGAATACGCTGCCCAAGCTTGTTCTATATAAAAGTACAGAATTTTCACTTTTGGTTTAGCTCTAAGCAAATTAATACATATACTCTTTTGAAGATTACTGTCACATTATTCATGCTCTGAAACATGCAGACTGACATTATTTACTTTGTTTTCTTGACACTTAAATGGCGCCTGACAACATACAGTGCCACACAGTTGGCAAATGTCTTACTAAACACAACATGGTTGATGATTGTGTGATCTAATGTGTATAGGAGTTACTTGGTCATATTTCCTGCATTAGCCATATTCCGTTCAAGTATCTTGTTTTACTGAGCTGTATTGCAGTGTTATACACCTTATAATGGTTACATCTATGATGCACCACCACCTCCTCCCAATTAAATGTATACTAAAGAATGCAATTTTTATCATGAAAACAGAATCATTTAATAACTACTGTTTATTTTCTCTTTCTATCCATTGGGTTAAATTCCTAACACAAAGAAATTTTATGGAACCATTTATGTACTACAGCTGTAAAAATGGCATTCTTAAAGGCACTTTTAATCTTGGGGACAATAAAAAACATGATTTTTTATTTTACAAATGGCTACTGATTTTCCATGAATAAAAGACTTTATAATAATCAAAATGAAAAAGAGTGTTTAAGGTTTAACATAAGAGCCTAGTTCTGTACAAAAAGTTAGAAACACTTCCTGCCTTTATTTCAGCTGAAACTAAAAATGGACATCTCTCATTCCCAAAACCTGGACATGCCCTTTCTTTATCACAGAGAGACAAAGACCATTGGCAAGACCAGTTTATGTTACTATTTTAGTTTTTAATACACGTGGATCATTCAACTCTACACCTGTCAATTCTACCACTACATGTGTACTGATTCTATTTCTGTCCTACCACTGCTGAGTTGAAGGGCTTGTATTTATAGCACCAAGGTCAACAAAACAGCTGCAAAGGGGAGAGACTGGGACTACTGGTGGACCATACCCACAGCAGGAAGACAGGCATTCAACAGACAATACCGTTGTACTGTCAGAAATAGATGCCTGTCAATTAACAACAGAGATCAGTGTAAGTCATTGACAGACTGAGAAGAAAGTAACATGTAAGTAATGTCATGGCCATTCAAAATGACAAGTTCATGCTGAATACAGTCACAGCTGCAAATAAGTCTGGAAGTCAGAAATGGATTTACATTTGTAAATTTACTGCATAAGAATTATCTTCTCTGTAGTACCTTAGATTACAATTGAGCTAAGAGAATAATCCGTATCTGTGTTATGATGTGGGGCAGGAACAATACTTTTTAAGTCCTTCAATAAAAGTAAATCTTTGGTATTTTAGCAAACATAATTAAGTGAACAACAGACAGCAATAACATAAAAAATTAATTAAGGTTTGGACAAGTTCATAAGAGTTAAATTTTGCTTCGGTTTTGTGATTTATGAAAAAGATCTAATATTGCATACATAGCATGTCACCAGACATAATATGAGGTTTCTCTCATTTTTCTCAGTTCCATCAGCTGAATATTGGAACAGTACCTTAAAAAAAGCTATAACTGTGTAACTGTTTCTCATTTCATCACTTTCAATTCATCTCGCCAAGAAATAAACAAGACATGACATCTATCCACAATGAACATGACCCCCACTGAGGTTGATTGATTCATCAGTTATGTATGATACTGTATCACAGATGTAGAGGTGTTGTAGTATTGAATATGAGATGCACATATGATTCTGAATGATAAGATGGAAAGGGTTTTAAATTAGTCATGACATATTTAAAGGCACTATCCAGATCTTTGCATAAAAAACTCAGCAAATATCTTGAACATGAATTTCACTTTGCCAGCCATAAGTCTAACCATGTGTAAGAAAAATGTTACTACTTAGCTGAACTTGCTCAACGTCTCCAGAAACAAAAGCATCTAAAAGCATAATGTAAACTGAATGTTGAAATAAGCTTTATACTTTCGACTGATTCACACTCATTTTCTTTTTGTCTTCCATTTTGTAGTCAATGACCTTCACAAAAGTATCCATTCTAGAGATAACATAAACAGTAACACATTTTATATCAAATCTAAAACTTCTTGACGATGGTGAAGAGTCTCTATCTCCGTCTTCACAGAATTATGTACGGATTCTTTATCTCTCCTGCCCTAGCCACATACCTAGGCATCTCAGATCTTATGCTTCTAACAGTGCAGGTAATATGCAAAGTGCAGGTAATATGGCCAACTAATATTTTATTTTTAAAAATACATATTAATTCAAATATAAATGCAAGGAATTAAGACATATGACGTTTTAAAGTATCATTATTATTATTTACTTCACATTTTGAACCTGAAAGCAACAAAAGATGATTTTTGTTTTTTTATGAAGTGAACTGACAAATTTTGTTACAAAAATAAGAAATTTAAACTGCATTCTTTCTCATCAATAATGTAAATCCATTCAGGCTTGTCCATGACATCAAATCCTATTCCAGTATGGAATACGCTGCCCAAGCTTGTTCTATATAAAAGTACAGAATTTTCACTTTTGGTTTAGCTCTAAGCAAATTAATACATATACTCTTTTGAAGATTACTGTCACATTATTCATGCTCTGAAACATGCAGACTGACATTATTTACTTTGTTTTCTTGACACTTAAATGGCGCCTGACAACATACAGTGCCACACAGTTGGCAAATGTCTTACTAAACACAACATGGTTGATGATTGTGTGATCTAATGTGTATAGGAGTTACTTGGTCATATTTCCTGCATTAGCCATATTCCGTTCAAGTATCTTGTTTTACTGAGCTGTATTGCAGTGTTATACACCTTATAATGGTTACATCTATGATGCACCACCACCTCCTCCCAATTAAATGTATACTAAAGAATGCAATTTTTATCATGAAAACAGAATCATTTAATAACTACTGTTTATTTTCTCTTTCTATCCATTGGGTTAAATTCCTAACACAAAGAAATTTTATGGAACCATTTATGTACTACAGCTGTAAAAATGGCATTCTTAAAGGCACTTTTAATCTTGGGGACAATAAAAAACATGATTTTTTATTTTACAAATGGCTACTGATTTTCCATGAATAAAAGACTTTATAATAATCAAAATGAAAAAGAGTGTTTAAGGTTTAACATAAGAGCCTAGTTCTGTACAAAAAGTTAGAAACACTTCCTGCCTTTATTTCAGCTGAAACTAAAAATGGACATCTCTCATTCCCAAAACCTGGACATGCCCTTTCTTTATCACAGAGAGACAAAGACCATTGGCAAGACCAGTTTATGTTACTATTTTAGTTTTTAATACACGTGGATCATTCAACTCTACACCTGTCAATTCTACCACTACATGTGTACTGATTCTATTTCTGTCCTACCACTGCTGAGTTGAAGGGCTTGTATTTATAGCACCAAGGTCAACAAAACAGCTGCAAAGGGGAGAGACTGGGACTACTGGTGGACCATACCCACAGCAGGAAGACAGGCATTCAACAGACAATACCGTTGTACTGTCAGAAATAGATGCCTGTCAATTAACAACAGAGATCAGTGTAAGTCATTGACAGACTGAGAAGAAAGTAACATGTAAGTAATGTCATGGCCATTCAAAATGACAAGTTCATGCTGAATACAGTCACAGCTGCAAATAAGTCTGGAAGTCAGAAATGGATTTACATTTGTAAATTTACTGCATAAGAATTATCTTCTCTGTAGTACCTTAGATTACAATTGAGCTAAGAGAATAATCCGTATCTGTGTTATGATGTGGGGCAGGAACAATACTTTTTAAGTCCTTCAATAAAAGTAAATCTTTGGTATTTTAGCAAACATAATTAAGTGAACAACAGACAGCAATAACATAAAAAATTAATTAAGGTTTGGACAAGTTCATAAGAGTTAAATTTTGCTTCGGTTTTGTGATTTATGAAAAAGATCTAATATTGCATACATAGCATGTCACCAGACATAATATGAGGTTTCTCTCATTTTTCTCAGTTCCATCAGCTGAATATTGGAACAGTACCTTAAAAAAAGCTATAACTGTGTAACTGTTTCTCATTTCATCACTTTCAATTCATCTCGCCAAGAAATAAACAAGACATGACATCTATCCACAATGAACATGACCCCCACTGAGGTTGATTGATTCATCAGTTATGTATGATACTGTATCACAGATGTAGAGGTGTTGTAGTATTGAATATGAGATGCA